TTAGAGCGTACTCCCGGAATACCAAAACCCCCTTTGGGGGCCTTCTCCCCCCCCCCCCCCCCCATCGATTGCCCTGCCAGTGCTCGCTGCAGTCCAATAGACCGCAGCAGCTAATGCTGCCGTGTCCCCTCCCGGCCCTGCGTGGTTTTACGCTGCCCCCCGCATGCACGCCAGTGCGAGTGTTGCGAACAAGCGGCCGCAACGCTCTCTGAGTTTTGGCCACACGTCGACGAAGGCCTGGCGCCCGCTGGTTGAGTTTTGTCGGCTAGATAAACGTGATGTTTTTTTTTTTGTGGCTCTGCTGCTGCTGCTGCCGGGGGAAGGACCGCTGTTTTTCAGATTTGTAATTTTTAGGTTTTTAGCTTGGCTCTTGGGAGCAAAAAGAAGCACGTCGTCAGCTGTCTGAGCTCGGGAAAAAGTCACGCCACAGCTGGCAGCCAGCCCGTGAGTTGGTCCTGCTCCCTGCTTTTTGCTTTCATCTTGCGAATCACCCCTTCGATGACACTGCTGTATGCTCTCATGAGCCCACTCCGGAGGGATCATCACTTGTAGGCATTTTTACACACCATGGTATGTAGCCAAGGGGGCAAAGAGGAAGGTGCCGGGTGTTATGTCTGTTTTTCAGAAGTAGCAGTATACATATGCGAAAAAAAAGGGCTACCCCCACCACGAAGAAATGTTCCTCCAGGGAACGTATTAACTTCAGTCGCAATAGGAACGTTGTAGGGACTCCCGCCTGATTCGGACTGCTGTCTTCTTGCATATTTTTAATGTTTTTTTGGTGTGATTTTGTTTTTTGTGAAATGTCGTTGCTTGCTTGTTTTAAATTGTGTTTTTTTTCTCGCTTGTCTTTTTATGCCGGAGTGAGGAGAGTGCTCGAGAAAACACCGTCATGACTGCTCGCTCTCATGACTTTGGTCGCGTGAGACATTCCCACAAAGTGGCTCAATGGTGCTGTTTGTGGTGAACAAGAAGTGGTCGAGACTTTAAGCATCGGCAGCAGATAGGCTAAACACCACATATTTTAGTTCGATAGCGCGGTATGGTTGCTGTATTTTAGAGTTGTGCGCGAGAGGGAGACGCGGTGTCATTGAGCCTTCCTTATTTCGTCTCCGCCACAGAATCTAGCTCTCTCTCTCTCTCGGTGTATTGTTTTGGGACGACTTTTTTGCTTTGTGCCGTTCCAGTGTAAAAACAAATTCAGTGCAGATAGGTCCAGGTTGACTGTTGTGTAGGGTGCGCACTATCTATCGAGTTGGTGGAGGGGGGGGGGGACAAGTCCCTGCTCTGTTCTCTCGATTGCAAGAACTGCTGTGTTTTTTTTATGGATTGAAACCCCCCAGACAAGAAGGTCCCCTGGGGTTTTCAGAATATTGGGAAGGCGACATGCATCTGGGGAGGGGGGAGCATACCACGGGAAATTTCAAACCCTTTTGTGCGTTGTCTTGTTGAGGTCCGTAGTGTTGTTTTGTGTGTTTTCCCCCCAGGAGATGGAAGCACGCACGTCATTGACGACAAGTATCGCCTTCTGTAGATAGAGCACAAACATCGACAGCAGTGGAAACCCAGGGGGGGGGTCCTGAAAAAAGAGAAATGAAAATGTGAAGGCATGGGGGGGGGGGGGTGGGGGAT